GCTGAACCCAAGCGGCTTTATTGCGCCTCCGCCTCCCCGCGGCGGGTCAGCAGGAGCGGGCGGGAACCGGGGGCCGGGCAGGGCTCAGCTCTCCTCCTCTGCAAGAGAAGAGCAACAGCGCCGAGGTGAGGGCAGCTGAGGGGGCAGGAACTCCCGCAGCCCCGCAGGAACCTGCTCCGCCCGGGAAATGCCATCGCGAGCGGACAAGCGGCCGTCTGCGGAGGGCTCGTTCCCCTCCGCCCCCACACCTGTCCCTCAGGCGAGACTCCACTCGTCACTTGCCACGACACAATTTACATTCCTGAGCAAATTACCCAGCAACATAAAATTTCCATAATAAACCCCGGCCGTCTGCGGAGGGCTCGTTCCCCTCCGCCCCCACACCTGTCCCTCAGGCGAGACTCCACTCGTCACTTGCCACGACACAATTTACATTCCTGAGCAAATTACCCAGCAACATAAAATTTCCATAATAAACCCCGGAGCAGCTGAGCTAACTCTACAGCTTAGATTAAAAAAAAAAATCCAGTCAGAAGACATTTTTCCCATCGCAGAAGCAGGAACTGCAGCTCAAATGGTTTCCCACTGCTGGCAGATCCCGAATCAGGGATCACAGGTGGTTTTAGGCAGTGAAGCGAGGACAGCAGCTGTCACTGCAGCACCACTGTCTCTACTGTCCCAGCCTGACCCACCAGCAACTGCTCAGGTCCAACAGCTGCTCTACGAAAGCCTTCAGTGAGTTACCTCCATCAGGATACAGCACCACAGGTTTTTTTAAATGCTGTCATCTTAAGAGTCACGCCTGTACCTAAAACTGGTATTAAAAAAACACACCCCAGAGCCCAACAGGTATTAGCACCCTCCCACACCCCCAAATCCTGGGGCTGCTGAATAAAGCCTTGGCAGGCTCCACTCTCCCAGCTGGAGCTCTGGAGCTGGGTCCCCTCTCCCACCCCTGCCAAAATCAGCCCTCACTCTGTGCCCATGCACCTGCATTTCCAACTCTCATCTCTTCTTGCTTCCAACTGAGTATTCCCATCATCACTCACACCTTTTCCACCACAGAGTCCCATCCTGAGGACTACCAAGTTCCCCGGCCTTGCTCCTGTCTTGGAACTGCACTAGTCAGATCTGGTCTTTATCACAGGTCAACCCTTTTCATTCAGACCAGTGAATCACTTAAAAGGGATAAATCACCAAGTAAGTCTGCTACAAACCTTCCTCTTCCTCTTCTTCCTCCTCATCCTCCTCATCTTCATCAGAGCTGAAGGTGCCATCCGGCAAGCTGTAGATCCGGATCACCTGCTTGTTGGGGTCCTTGAGGATGAGGTACTTCCCCTCATCCAGCTTCATGCAGATGTCAATCACACACCGCAGGATGCCCCACGCGTTCTCTATGCTCAGGTTAATCTGGCTGGCAAACTCATTTGGCTTGAACTGCTGGGTGCCCAGGATCACGTGGCGGGAAGAGTCCTTCACGTGGTAACGGGACACATACCTACGGGGGGCAGGGAGACACCAGATGGGTATCAGGAGATTAAGCCCAGCCAGCAGAAGAACAACACCAAGAAAAGCAGTGTGACCCTCTTGGGTTTGTTTTCTGGGCTGAAAAATCCTAGTACTCCAATACTGAAAGCTAAGGGGATCTCCTGGCTACAAGCTGTCAAACAGAAAAGAATTAATCCTACAGATAAAAAGAAGCAATTGTATGATTAACCAGTTTGGAATTAAATGGATGCAAATGCATCACTCCCATATGCAAGGACACAGCCTAGGACTGCAGAACCACCAGAATCTAGTTAGCAAATGCCTCTTGCTCATCACGCACAGCACAGACTACTGATTTTATGCTGGCAATTCAGAAAGGGCTGTGTTGATAGCTCCCATCCACCCAATCTCTCAGCAACAGGACATTGATGATCTTGATCACGTTCCAGAAAGGTAGCACAGTCACTGCATTTATCTCCCTTGTTGGCAATCTTGGCAAAAAAAGTAGAAGCCATAGAGGCCACCTGCCTGTCACATGCCTGAGACCTCTCACGATCAGTCACATCAGGGGTCAACATCAGCTGGATGCTGAGGGGAAGCAGCTTCCAACACAGCTGGTGCACTCACCCCAAGCCCCCCCCACTCGACCACCCAAAAGGCAGGGTCATTTTATGACTACTCATTCTACAAACGGTTTGCTTTGACTTATACTAGGTTAAATAATGGAAAAAGCACCTGAAAGGTTTGGTGTGAAAACACCCCATCTTACCCAAGCTTGAGATATTCTGACCCAGCCAGCAGTGCACAGCATGTCCAGCGGGCCAGTTTGTAGCTGTTGTTCTTCAGCTCCGTGGCAATCACGGCTCCTCTCTGTGAGTCGAGCTTCTGGCGCCAATCCACTCCATTGCAATACTGAGAGGAGAACCAGAGCTAGGGTCAGCCCCACCAGCCAGCAGAAGTCATCTCCTCAGCTGTCTTGGCACCAGGTAGGGAATTTCTTATGTCTAGCTTACAAGGGAACGTGAACAGCAACCTAAAGGGAAAGTCCTTGCACTAGAAAGGGAGAAATGTGAAGGGTAGGGGGTGTCAGTCAACATTTGCTGTACTGCTTAGGGAGGGAAGTTTGTGAGGGAAGAACTCAGGAGGGAAGCACGGGAACAGACTGGTTGCTGTGCCAAATACCTGTGGACAAGAGCTACCCTGCATCTGGGGAAGAGTCCTGTCAGCACTGCTTGTCCACCAAAGTTATGGGCCTTTGATGGAATGTAATCACCCAGGGGACACTGCCAGGTGTTTTTCTCATGTTGCCTGCTGTTTCTGGCACGTCAGGCAGCAGTGAAGTGATTAGAGCTAGCTTTAGGATGTTGTTCTTCCTCACCCTGGAATCCCACTCGTTCAGTGTTTTGATGTTGATGAAGGACACTTCTCCATTAGCTCCTGTCATGACTCCATCATGCTCACAGCGGACAATCAGATCTATATCATCTCCCAGCTTCCACCGTCGGTATCTGCCAACAAACAACCCAGCTGGTTATTTCTGACCCTTGTTCTCTTCCAGATCCATGCAAGCACTCGGCAAAATCCCTTCTCCCTCAATTTGTTTACTGTGAGGACGTTCAGGAAACCCTCCCATGATAAAGCTTCTACCAGTAACACTCCTAACTTGTTTTTCCTCTGTGTGGCTCTGACATCCTGACCCCTTGCCAAACCTGGGCAGCAGACAGAAACACCAACATACCTGTAGGCAACAGAAGCTACTTCATTTTTATCCATGTCATCCTCCACAAAAGGGTTAGGGTTGGGAAACTTGTATTTCTCCTTTCCCTGCAGAAACAAACAGAAGCACGTCAGGAGAAAAAAAAACCTGAGTGAGCTCGCCCCTACTGGATAAATATTATAGCACCAATAGCTCTTTCCCCTTCTACAGAAAAATGCTAAAATATTAAGATCACTGATGAGAAGCTTCATCTTCACATCAGACACTTTGCTCTAAGAAGTACTCCTATTGGCACTTGAGCTTCACTGAGTGTACTCAGGAGCCTGCCTACTTCACCAATGGAGGTGGGATGACTTCTTTGTGGAATAAAGGTGAAAAATCTTTCTGCAACAAATTCACACCGCTCACCAGAAGTAATCCTACCTCTTCCAATCTTGAAAGAACACCAGTGTAACATGATGGTAAATTTGTGCCAATTAAGACACTTCTGTGCTGTGTTAGAGGGCACTTAATTAGTCTCTTCTTGAGACTCTCTGAAACACAGATCCTCCCACCCAGCACTGCTCAACCGTACCATCCTCAGACACTGCTGGGAGAAGTTATGATTGATGTAGGTAGCTTCCATGGCAAGGTTGCGTGGAGAATTAAAGGAGTTGCCCTCTTCCTGAGGTGGTTCGTTGGCTGTTTCACTTACAGTCAGCAGGTCTGGGGAGAAAACCAGACACAAGAGGTTATCACCTGGGGGAGCAGCTATGTCAGCTTCACTGAGTCTCAGCCCTACACTGCAACAGATCAATACTGAGGTCCCCGCCACAGCCATCAAGCATACAGCAGTAATCAGGTTGTTCCAGGCATCTCAGTCTGGACACTGAGACACAGAATAAAGTAAAAAAAGCAAAAAAAAAAAAATTAAGACCCTTTAGATATTGTAACAGAAATTTATTTCAGGACTTGTCCTTACCAAAATCTGAATTGTCTCTCTTGTCAAAGAAAAGTTTGGATCCAACTCTCTGGACAATGATGTCCCAGGAATAGACAGAGCGGGTGCAGCTCATCAGTGTGGCCAGGATGGCATCTGTGGCAAACACATTCCCTTGGGTTTTGGCCAGCTACAGATAGGAGGAGAAAACTCTGTTTCAGAAACAAGAACAGATACCCCATCCCTTCTCCAGCCAGGATGAGAAACATTAGCAACTGAGATCATTGACACCTTCTTCCACACTCAGGAAGCTGAACTGGTAAGCACACCACTGCTAGACAAAGCATGAGGTACCACAGTGATCCGGGCCCACCCTTGCCCAAACAAGGAGGAAGTAAGAAACCTGTCACAAAATGTGAATTCTGCTGGGAAAATGCACGGCTCCTTAGTGATGATCAGGTGAGGGAGAAAATCTCCAAGCTTTCCTCATCACCAGAAGCAGGACCTCAAGGACCAGGTCTCTGACATGGAAGTTTCTTTCCCAATATAGCTCAAGTACCAGTCTGCTTGCCTTTCCGGACTTACAGTTTGTCCCTGGTTACTATTCCTGGTTTTGCATTAATCTACTGCTGCCTTAGACCTAAGAAAAATAACAAGACTGGCTAACGCTTCTTTTCCTCTGCAAGCTGAGGGATCTGGCATTTTTCTACCCTTAACTTCAGTCTGCTGGTGACAGCTGGTCTCCAACTACAGCAAGCACAGAGACACATGGCTGGGTTTTGCAAACCCGTAACACACCTTTCGGATAACTGGGTCATCAGTGGTGGTGACGGTGTGGAAGATGCGCTTAATGCTCCTCAGGGGCTTCTCATTCCTTGTTGTAATGCGGTCGAAGGCTTTGTCATAGTATTCCAGAGCTCCGCAGCACTCTCTGCAAAGGGAAGAGCAGGACTGTCTTGATACCCCCCCTAAAGACAACACCACCCATGAACTGGACAGGACTGAGGGGCCTTGCTGGGTGTTGGGTTACCTCTCCCTGCTTTGGATACCTCAACAAGAACACTGGGACCAGGCCAGGAGACCCTGGCCCTCCTGCTTCCCAAAATTCCAGTCAGTTCTGGAAGCAAGTAAGCGCACAGCTGCTTTAGGAACTCACATGTCCTGTGGCTCTGACACCTCCAGGTAGCGCATCTTCATGAGCCGAGGGAAATCCATCTCCTCCTTCACCTCCCAGTCGCTGCGAACCTCAACAGAGGAGTCACGAGGCTTCTGCTGTGCGGCCAGAGGCAGGACACAGGCAAAGAGAGAGAGAGGGAGACACAGCACATCAGGATTTGCGCATGAGGTGCTGCCCCTTCAGTGCAGCCAGAGAAACCAAACCAACACAGAGGGCAGAAAGCTTGCGAGTGTACCTGTGATTTCTGGTCCCATTTCTGCCTCACTCCAAACTGCTTCTGAAACTTCTTCTGTAGGCGCAAACGATCCCTACAACAGCAGACACCAGAAAAGCCATGAGAAGTCCTCCATTCCTACGTGCCGCAACCATGTCTAAGCTTCCCAATTACCACCAGAGGAGCAATGCTTTCAGGCAACAAGCCACCCAGACATTTGTGGAGCAGTCTGTTGATCCAGATGCCCGAGACATGAAAAGCTCTGTTCTGCACTCTGAGCAGCTCTTGAAATATTTTCATCTCCAAAAACTGCAATGCAGTTTTCAGAAAGGGTATGCTCTACTTTATGATGCCATCTTTACTTTCTAAACGGAATTAAAAGATCCTTCTAAACTCTGTTTGAAACCCATGCTTGTAACTACCAGTGACATTGGCAAAACATTGGACTAATTCAGGAAAGACAAGGACCTATTGGAGAGAGTCCAGCAGAGGGCTACCAGGATGATTAGGGGACTAGAGGAGGAAAAGCTGAGAGCTGGGTCTGATTAGCCTGGAGAAGACCAAGGGGGGATCTCATCAATACCTATAAGCATTCAAAGGGCAGGTGTCAACGGGATGGGGCCAGACTCTACTCAGTGGCACTCAGCAACAGGATGAGAGGCAACAGCACAAACTGGAACACAGAAAGTTCCATCTGAACACAAGGATAAACAAAGCACTGGAACAGGCTGACCAGAGAGTTGTAGAGCCTCCTTCTCTGGAGATACTCAAAGCCTTCCTGGACTTAGTCCTGTGCAATCTGTTCTAGGTGAACCTGCTCTAGCAGGGGGGTTGGGACTAGATCTCCAGAAGTCCCTTCCAACTCCCACCGTTCTGTGATTCTGTGACTTGAAATATCCCGAAATTGTTCCCTGCTGTTCACCCCAGCCGGTTCCGTTACAGCGACTTCACAGATTTATCAACAGTGTGTTCATGCACTCCATCCCAAGCAGGGCACACTTATATCGGAGGCCTCACCTCTCCTTCTGCTTGGCACTCTTTGGCAGGGTCTGCATGCTGAACTGCAGCATGTTCCGACGGTCCTTGTCTCTCCGAAGGTTCCTCTGCGGAAATGAGGGAAAAAACAACAACAAACAACTCACAAACCCGAACGTTTTAGCTGCAAAAGAATTCCGTGACACGGCAGCTCTGCTCTGAGCCTGCTTTTGCCAACACGTTACCTGAGCAAATCGCATCCGGTTCCTCTGGTACGCGGTCTTCTGCGTCCGGGCCGTATCCACCAGCTGGAAGCTTGTCTCATCCTCCTCGTGGAAATAAGCATATTGGCTGCCACCACCGAACTGCGACGAGTACTTGTCTAGAAATAAAACAAAGCCTCTTAACACCGAGCTTCTAGGAAGGAAACCCCGACTCTTCCCCATCAATTCTCTCAAACCGCCTTCACTTGTGCCTAGTTCTGGGCCCCTCAGTTCAAGAGACAGGGAATTAGTAGCGAGTCCAGCGTAGGGCAACAAGGATGACAGGGGGACTGGAGCATCTCCCTTATGAGGAAAAGCTCAGAGAGTTGGGACTCTTTAGCCTGGAGAAGGCTGAGGGGAGAGCTTATTAATGCCTACAAGTATCTAAAGGGCGGGTGCAAGGAGGATGGAGCCAGACTCTTTTCAGTAGTTCCCAGTGATGGGACAAGGGGCAACAGGCACAAGCTGGAATATATGAAGTTCCATTTAAATATGAGGAAAAACTTCTTTATAGTGAGGGTGACAAAGCCCTGGAACAGGCTGCCCGGGGAGGTTGTGGAGTCCCCTTCTCTGGAGATATTCAATACCCGTCCTGAGTAATGTGCTCTAGGGAACCCTACTTCAGTGGGGGAGTTGGACTAGATGATCTCTACAGGTCCCTTCCAACTCTGACACAAAAACTGTGACTCCTGTCTTACAGTTGCAAGTCGTCCCCATTCCACACCCCCCATGAGAAGCCCCAGTCATGAGGCAGTGCAAAAACCAGCAGTAAGCACAGGGAGAGCCCCAGGGAGCTCTTCCAAGGGTGAGGCACACTTCCTAATTGAAGAAGCCTCTCCTGCTGAGCTGTGCAGGAAACCAATGGAGAGGGTGTGAGACATGAAAGC